TCCTCCACGCGCCCGCCGCGCGCACCACGTGGGCCCGAGGCCGCCTCCAGTCTGCGCCCGCGACCGGGGGCGGGAGCTGCACCACCGGCTTGGAGCCGGGCCGAGGAAGCTTCCCACTCTCTCCCTAGAGATGCTCCGCGGGCTCGGGTGTACCCCACACCAGCCGGGATCACCACACCCCCCAGCACACACGCACACTCACACCCCTTTGCTGCTTTGGAGCCAGAAGGACCTGGAGGTGAATCCTGCCGCTCACTCCTGCACTAATGAGCAGTGACCTTGAGCGAGTGACTTAACCTCTCTCAGCTCCATTATGCTCGCCTGTAAAATGAGGGTAATCACACCACCTGGCTCACAGGGTTAATTAAGATGATGCGAGAAAGAACTTGGCTCAGTGCAGCGCACACAGTGAGTGCTCCGTAAATAACCATTACTCTGCGTAGTTTCTTTCACCGCATTCATTCACTCAACAGATTTTTGGGGTGGGGGAGTGCTGAGTATAAGAGCCAGGTCCTACTGGGGATCTGCTAGTGCACAAAACCAGATGCATCCCCTACCTCCTGGGGCTTACAGTCCAGTGGAGAAGAGACATCAATCCTAAAATCACAGCAATGAAGATACAGTTACAGATGGAGGAAAGTGAAGGAAAGCAATGCTTTCCTCTGGTGGGGCCTACAAAACCGAGAGGTCAGAACACCTTCCCTGAGGAAAGGATGCTTAAGGTGAGATGTGAAATTTGGGGAGTAACTAACTTAGGGAAGAAACCAGGAAAGAGCATTCCAGACAAAGGAACCACATGTCCGCATGTGCAAAGACACAGTGGTCAGAGAGTCTCAAAGGAGTCCAGGAAGAGATGGCAAGGGAGCCAGCGCGGAGAGAATGGGATGAGGTGGCAGGCAGGGTCTCAAAGACCACCGGGAAGGGAGCATTTCTCATACTCCTTCCCTAACCTGACCTTCCCAGACCCAGAACCACCCTACTTGGGGCTCCTGTCCTTCCCAGAACATTCTCTCTACCAACCATTACTCTGTACCAGGCACTGTGATAAGCGCTTTATCCATGCATCAACACTTTAGAGTAGGTTCTATTATTATTGTCCCCATTTCACAGACGAGAAGACTAGGCACGGCACTAAATTATCCCATATGGCAATTATTTCTATCTGAGTTTGTTTCCTCCTTGGGGACACCAGGCCTGATTGATCTCTGCACCCAGTAGAGGGCTGGGGTCAGAGTGGGTGCTCAGAAAATACTGGTTAGGTAAGTAAAGGTCCCAAGGGGGAACGGAATGGGACCATATTGGATTCCTGAGCCTTAGGCTTAGGGTTGATGCTCTTGGCCCTGAGAGAGACTGGGAAAGGATCCATATCACTCTCTGGCTTAAGTCATCCATCTATTTGCAAGGCTCATACCCTTTCCAAAAAAAACAAAGCCAGAATTCTCAAGTTCACCCTCTTTGCTCCATTCTCTTTGCCCCTCCCAGCTGCTGTCCAGGCCCCTTGATCAGCTACAGGAGACTCCTCACCCCAAGGCTTTCCCACTTAACCATCTAGGGACTCATCAGAGAGGTGATTTTTGCTCTGTGGTCACATATGCTGCCAAAACTCTCTCCCCTGTCTTACAGGGCCTGATAGTCACAGACTTTTCTGGTGCCGAGGGAAAGAAACTGGGACAGTTGGAGTTCTGGCCCCCTCCCCACCCTTCCAACAAGCCAAACTTTTTCCTACCCCAGGATACTTGCACATTCTGTTTTTTTCCACTCAGAAGGCTCAGCCACCTCCACAGGCTAAATGCTATTCATCCTTCAGGTTTTAGCTTAAATATCATTTCACTCACTGCCCTCCACCCCACCAACTAGACCAGGTCCCCTTGTTATTTGTTCTCATAGCCTCTTCTTTACAGAATGTCCCACATATTTATTTATGCAGTCACTGGATTTTTGTGCATCGCCGTTACAATAGGTCTTGTGCACTCCTGTACCCCCACCTCAGTACAGTCCCTGGTGCTCAGTGAGTGAGTGAACAGGAAGTTCAATTCCAACTTTGGTGAGCTCTTATTTTGGTGAGGGAGACAGACAAACAGAGCTTAATACAGACCTAGGAATTTTTCTAAACAACTCAAACCCTTTGCTTTAAAGTCTGCAATTACATCTTACTTGGAACTGAAATACTAGATCCCAGCTCCATGCCCGCCCCTGGCTTTTGGCAATTACCAAGCAAGTCTACCCTCACTCCTTGATCTTGCATTTGGGGCTCTCCCAGGTGTGGCCCCAACTGGGATTTATTGCTGTCCTCTCTGACTCCATCCCCTATCCCCACCCCAATGGCATGCATGCTTCAGCCACAATGGGCTAAAGGGAATTTTTTTTAATTGCATTTCACAATGTTTCTTTGAGTCCCTCCTGGGTACAGAGATGCTGTGATGGAAACCCGTAGCTATGGTGGAGGCAAAAACAGAAAAAGATTCCCATCACTTCTTTCATCCTCAGTTTTCTCATCTATAAGGTTAAGAGGTACAGGATTAGGTGAGGAGCTGGTAAAACAGCCGATGCTCTGCATGGACGGCCCCTTTCAAGAGTTTGCTTGCTATCTCTGCTCTGGACACAAGAAGTCAGCCATCTACAACCCAGAAGAAAGCCCACACTGGAACCCATCTATACTTGGCACCCCGATCTTGGACTTCCAGTGTCCAGAACTGTGAGAAATAAATGTCTTAAAAAAAAAAAAAAAAAAAGTCTTTATTGACTTCAGAGAGAGAGAAACATCAATGATGAGAGTCATTGATCTGCTGCCTCCTGCATGCCCCCTGCTGGGGATCGAGCCCGCAACCTGGGCACGTGCCCTGACCAGGACTTGAACCGAGATCTCCTGGATCATAGGTCGGTGCTCAACCACTGAGCCACACTGGCAGGCGAGAAATAAGTTTCTGTTGTTTATAAGCCACTTGGTCTATGGTACTTTGGTATAGCAGCCTGAATTAAAACACATGCCAAGTGCATGTGAATTGCCTCTGTTAAGAACACATGGGAAGAGTGGAAATTTGAAAGACATCTAAAGGAGATTCCCCAATAGCCTCCCAAAGTGAGTACCTTGAAGAGATCAACCCTTGGATGTGCGCATTCTAGTTTATTTACCTTTAAAAGGCAATCTCTTTTCTGTAGTCACAGCTCACAATGACCCTACCATTTAGAGAGAGCTTGCGATGTGCCAGGAACTGGGCCAAGTGCTCTGTGGATTATCTCCTTTAATTCCCATCAGCCTCAGAGGTGTGAGTTCCTACTATTATGCCGTTTTTCAGAGGTTAGGTTACCTGCCCGAGCCACAGCTGGGACACCACTCCAGAAGCCAGTCTCCTGACTCCCACACCGCATTGCCTCACAGAGCAGACTAGAAAGTCACCCCCATTAAACACAAGAACTCATCGCTCCTGCCTCTGCTTGGCAGAGTTTTCCCCTTGAGTTCGCCGCTGCTCTTGGCTAAGCACAGGGTAGACGCAGCCCTCCACGGCTGGCTTATAGAATGGTAACCCAGGTTTTGCTTGGGGCTCCTCCCCATCCTTAACTCCAGGGGCAAAGAACAAAAACATAAACGCATGGGAAATCCTGAGCCAACTGGGGGCATCAGGAGGTGTCAGCGGTGGAGAAACAGAAATCACAGAAGGAGTCAGAGCAGAAAGGAACTCCCTGGGGAAGCTATTAACAATTTAGTACGTGGGAATGTGGTTCCCATCTGCCAAAAAGATAGATGGAAAACACAGCGACTCCTCTGAGTAAGCAGGCAGTTCCCCTGGGTCGCCTTTCAGTCTTGCTCCATCTGCAAGCCCCAGGAGAGGGAAGACCTTAACAATAACCATAAAATAATAACCACTTACATTTGCAAAGTACTTTTGACTTTTCCGAAGCACTTCCAGATTGATGACTTCATCTTATCTTGACACCATCTGGATACATAGGAAGGTCAGGTTTCATTATTTTTGCTTCATAGCTAGGAAGACAGACATCTAGAGAGCCTGGGCGAGATCCCCAAGGATACACAGCAAATCGGGAAAAGAAATAGGATTGATACCATCCATCTAGTTGCTCAATCCAGAAACCTGAGAGTCATTCCTGACTCCCCTCTCTCTTTCCCCCTAATCCCTCACCTCTAACCAACCTTTAAGTCCTGTCCATTCTTCCCAGATAACCCATGAAACCTGCCATTGTCCTTTATTCTTACTACCGTCTTCCAGTTGGATGCCCCACCCTTTCTTGCTGAAACTCCTGAAATAG